CCCAAAATACCTTGTAAACCTAAAAACCCGGTTGAACCTTAAATACCTTGTTAACCTAAAAATTCGATTGAGTCCGTGAAAGTATTCCTCGAAGTTAGTAAACTTGTTGGAATTGTTGGAGCAGACCCATGCGACATTGACTTGCTTTTGCAAACGGAGCAGATGAGGGATGACGAAGTGCGTACCTTGCGACAGAAATTGGAGAAAGGAGAGATAGAACGGTTTGTTTTAATTGATGGAATAATTTATAGAAAGAATGATAACGGAAGGTTATGTTTGTATGCCCCAACTCAAATGCAAGAACAGTTGATCAGATTAAGTCATGAAAAGTTCGGTCACCTTGGAGTTGATAAATGTGTTGATGACCTGAAAAATAAGTATTGGTTTCCGTTGTTGAGAAGCAAAGTTGAATCCTTTATCCGCAATTGTTTGCCATGCATCCTTCATTCAGTACCTAAAAGTGTCCACGACCGTACCCTCCATAATATTCCGAAGGTCCCAATTCCGTTTGATACCATTCACATTGCCCATTTGGGTCCGTTGCCTAGTATCAATTCAAAAAGAAAACACCTGTTAGTTACTATCGACGCTTTTACCAAATTCGTGAAAGTGTACCCAGTTAATTCTACCAGTACCAAAGAAGTTAATGCCAGTCTTTCAAAATACTTTGAGTATTATAGCCGACCGCGACGAATTATTTCGGATCGTGGTACCTGTTTTATTTTGAGTTTTTCATTTGAGTTTTCTAGTTTCCTAAGTGAGCGAAATATAGGGCACGTTAAAGTTGCTACCGCAGCCCCTCAGGCGAACGGTCAGGTGGAACGCATAAGCCGAGTGTTAACCCCGATGTTAAGTAAACTATCCGAGCCGATTGGTACAAGTTGGTCAACCGAGTTGAATTTGCAATTAATAATTCCGTTCAGAAGAGTACTGGAAAAACTCCTAGTGTTTTGCTTTTTGGTAGCAACCAGCGGGGACCCGTTGTAGACGAATTATCCGAATATCTTGAGGAGAACCCGTGTGATATTACCTCCGAAAGGATAAAAGCTAGTGACAATATTAATTGGTCATACGTTCGTAATGAATCCATATATGCCCTAAGACACAAAGCACCCATGATGTATAATAACAATGACTTTGTTGCTATTCGCAATGTTGATGTTAGGCCTGGACATTGTAAGAAATTCGCACCTAAATACCGTGGGCCACATAAAATTAGTCGAGTACTTCCCAACGATCGATACGAGGTAACCGATATAGAAGATTGTCAGCTCACACAACTGCCTTAAAGAGGAATACTTGAAGCTGCAAGGTTAAAGCCGTGGATGCAAGTGTGTAATGAGACTGTAGGATTGTGCGTGTGATGATCGAGGCCGATCAAATGTCAGGTTGCCCGAATGTAAACATCTAGTCAATATCATGACGAACTATTAGCTTTAAGTGTGAATTGTACATATATAATAATCGATAAATGATGTGAACTGATAGATGGTCACACATAAATGTAAGTTAAGATTTAAGAGAACCAGGGTACGGTCACTTTTAGACCGGCTTTTGGTTAAAACAACAAAAAACTAAATAAAATAAAACAAAACCCATCCTAGTGGCTTCTAAAAAACTAAGAATGTGCTTACATTTACATTTGTTTACAGTATGAATATATTGCCTCGCGGGGAAATGTTGAAGAAGACAGCAGAAAGTGTTTTAAATGCAACAAATTCGGTCACATCTCCAAAAACTGCCCCCAAGGCGACAAATTAGTCGAAGAGTGTAAGCCAAGCGCGCGTGTTTTAAGTGAGCACAGCAACATGACGAGCAAAATTGTATTGCTCTGTTCGACAAAGGCAGTAAATATAATATTTTGCGCGAAGATATTAACGATTAGCTAGCTTTGCCGAAGCTGAAGGAGTGCAGTGTACACCTAATTAGATTTGGAAAAAATCGCAATGCCAATAAGATCAAGCCAATTGGACAGTGCAAGCAAGCAGTGCGGATCGACAGCACTGCCTACGATTTGAATTTCTTCATCGTTCCGCTCGATTGTATGGACACTCGTATGATCATCGGCGAGGAATTGTGTTTGCAAGCAGAAATATCATTTGGTCCAAGTGGTTTACTTGCTTAAAATTTACACGGTTATTAACAACGATGAATGGTGAATGCGCGAAGCAAGAAGTGAGTGAAATAATAATGAATTACAAGCCGCTTAAGTCGAAGTCGAAAAAAATTGAAATGAATATCCTTCTAAACGACGAATCGCCGATTTTCTCGCGTCCGCGCAGATACGCTTTTGTTGAAACGAACGTTATCGACGAACAGATCGTGCAATGGTTGGATAAAGGTATAATCGAACCATGAGGTTGCAAGGCAGTTGCAGAGTCGCTCACTCCTTAAAGGCAAATCGCTGCTACAATATTTTTTAGCTATGCGTAATATTGTTAGACAAGGAACGTTCGAGGACACGGCATTATTATTAGGCTGAGATGTATTGAAACTATTGTCACTTAAGTTAGTAATACGTAAAACTGTACCAAATTATGAAAATAATTACTCACTAAACAATTCTATTGCGGTGGCTTCCAATTTATACTGTGCATCCCTATTTACTAAGATGTCAAACTTAAAAAACATACCTTGCCATAGCTTAAATAAGCAAAAAGATCTATGTTTATTTGTAAACACAATTGCATCCCCGGTGAAGCTTGAGATGTTTCATGAATGGATGAATGAGTTTGCGAACTTGGTGGTGTCGACTGATAGCGTTGCGATCGTAGGCGAGGAGTTTGGTTGTGTTCGAATGCAGGAGTGCCGGGATATTATTGCAAGCTATTACACTAATAAGTTTTCAAAAGGTTGTAGCTCGCCAAGATTCAAAATGTGCATTCGTCTTACTGAAACAACCCTATTTCACTGCGCCCCTAGAAGATTGTCATACGAGGTGTGTTCAAAAAGTAAGGTGACTTTTTATTTTCAAGAAAAACTATTAATTTATTTATCAATATTAATGTTGTCCCCTTCAAAGTAATCCCCCTCAGATACAATGCGCTTATGCCAACGGTTTTTCCAATCCTCAAAGCACTTCCCATAAGCACTTTTCGGTATAGCCTTGAGCTCTTCCAGCGATGCAGTCTTTATCTCTTCAATCGTTGCAAATCTCCGTCCTTTCATAGGTCTCTTTAGTTTTGGGAACAAGAAAAAGTCACATGGGGCCAAATCCGGTGAATATGGTGGCTGAGGCATTATTGTGGTGTTGTTTTTGGCCAAAAAAGCGATGCTCATGCGACGGTTCTTTTGGTCAAAATTCAGCAATTTTGGAACAAACTTCGCTGACACACGACTCATGCCCAAAACGTTTGAAAAAATTTCATGGCACGAGCCTAGCGATATACCGACATCTTCAGCAACTTCTCTGATAGTGATTCGACGATTTTCCAAAACAATTTTCTTCACTGCTTGAACGTTTTCATCAGTTGTTGACGTGCTTGGGCGTCCAGAGCGAGGCTCGTCATTGGCATCTTCCCGGTCATCTTGGAAGAGTTTGTACCACTTGTAAACATTTTTTTTACTCAGAACAGTTTCACCGTATGCCACTGTCAACATTTCAAGTGTTTCGGAGCACTTTTTTTACACAAAATTTGATGCAAATCCTTTGATCCATATTTTTCGATAGCAAAAAATCGCTGAGCACGCAAAACAACTTGTTATCTTTACGCCTCTCACAACTGAACAAAAAAGGGGATTCAATTGAAACTTGGTACAGATGTTAGGAAAGAGTGTACCAACATAACAAAACAAAAAAATCGATAATCGAAAATATGTTGCCCGCGAAATTTGAAAAGTCACTTTACTTTTTGAACACACCTCGTATTATAAAAGGGAGACTGTTTCTGATACAGTTAATAATCTATTGGCCGATAAAATCATTCGCCCAAGTAACTCCCCATATGCTTCGGCTGTGGTACTAGTTAAAAAGAAATATGGAAATATAAGAATGTGTGTTGATTACCGTGGGTTGAATAAGAAGACAGTTCGTGACAATTTTCCTTTACCGCTTATAGAAGATTGCTTAGAATACCTTGAAGTTAAATCCGTTTTTTCTGTTATAGATCTTAAGAGTGGTTTCCATCACATCACATTGAAGAAGAATCCGTGAAATGTACTTCCGTTGTGACTCCGTACGGGCAGTTTGAGTATTCAAGGATGCCTTTCGGGCTTAAAAATGGACCGGCTGTATTCCAAAGGCTTATATCTCACGTATTAAGCGAGCTTGTTAGAAATCGTCAAATTGTTGTGTATATGGATGATATAATTCTGGCATCTAATACTGTAGATGAGCTTCAAAAGGTATTAGTTACGTTGCTGAATATTCTTGTTAAGTTTAGTCTCGAAATAAATTTCAAAAAAAGTAGCTTCATACAAAAACGTATTGATTACTTAGGTTACGATGTTAGTGCTCAGGGAATTTTGCCTAACGATACTCACTTGGGAGCGATCAAACGATATCCGGAGCCACTCAGCAGTAAAGCGTTGCATTCTTGTCTCGGTTTATTCTCATATTTCCGAAAGTTTGTCCCGTGGCAACGCGACGCGTGGCAAAGCCCTTAGCCGACATATTAAAAAAAGGAGGGCCCTTTCCAATGTCAGATTCCAAAAGAAATGCCTTTGTGGAGTTAAGAACAGCATTGTCGAACCCGCCAGACCTGTCAATTTTCAACCCCCATTACGAAACGGAATTGCATACTGGTGCGAGCTCTCATGGCTTTGGTGCAGTACTATTGCAAAAACAGTTAGATAAGAAGCTTCATCCCGTTTTCTTTTACTCAAGAAAAGCTACCGCAAGCGAGTCTCGTTACCACAGTTTCGAAATTGAAACCTTGGTAATTATATACGCTTTACGTCGTTTCTGTGTATACTTGGAACACAAGCCTTTCCTAATTGTAACAGATTGCAGTTCCTTGGTTCAAGCCTTGAGTAAAAAATCCATCAATCCTCGTATTGCCCGTTGGCCCCTTGAGTTAGAAAGTTTTAATTATTCGATAGCACATAGGCCGGGTTCATGTATGGCTCATGTCGATGCACTAAGTAGGCAAACGGAGTTGTTAGCTGATGACGTTGTTGAAGGAGTTTACGATCCGTGTGTGACACCGTCTATGATTAAAAATCCGTGTGTACCTAAAATACCTTGTGAACCTGAAAACCCGGTTGAACCTAAAATACCTTGTAAACCTGAAAACCCGGTGGAACCTAAAATACCTTGTGAACCTGAAAACCCGGTTGAACCTAAATAACCTTGTAAACCTGAAAATTCGATTGAATCCGTGAAAGTATTCCCCGAAGTTAGTAAACTTGTTGGAAGTGTTGGAGCAGACCCATGCGACATTGACTTGCTTTTGCAAACGGAGCAGATGAGGGATGACGAAGTGCGTACCTTGCGACAGAAATTGGAGAAAGGAGAGATAGAACGGTTTGTTTTAATTGATGGAATAATTTATAGAAAGAATGATAACGGAAGGTTATGTTTGTATGCCCCAACTCAAATGCAAGAACAGTTGATCAGATTAAGTCATGAAAAGTTCGGTCACCTTGGAGTTGATAAATGTGTTGATGACCTGAAAAATAAGTATTGGTTTCCGTTGTTGAGAAGCAAAGTTGAATCCTTTATTCGCAATTGTTTGCCATGCATCCTTCATTAAGTACCTAAAAGTGTCCATGACCGTACCCTCCATAGTATTCCGAAGGTCTCAATTCCGTTTGATACCATTTACATTGACCATTTGGGTCCGTTGCCTTGTATCAATTCAAAAAGAAAACACCTGTTAGTTACTATCGACGCTTTTACCAAATTCGTGAAATTGTACCCAGTTCATTCTACCAGTACCAAAGAAGTTAATGCCAGTCTTTCAAAGTACTTTGAGTATTATAGCCGACCGCGACGAATTATTTCGGATCGTGGTACCTGTTTTACATCATTTGAGTTTTCTAGTTTATTAAGTGAGAGAAATATAGGGCTCGTTAAAGTTGCTACCGCAGCCCCTCAGGCGAACGGTCAGGTGGAACGCAAAAACATAGTGTTAACCCCGATGTTAGGTAAACTATCCGAGCCGTTGAACCAATCCGATTGGTACAAGTTGGTCAACCGAGTTGAATTTGCAATTAATAATTCCGTTCAGAAGAATACTGGAAAAACTCCTAGTATTTTGCTTTTTGGTAGCAACCAGCGAAGACCCGTTCTAGACGAATTATCCGAATATCTTGAGGAGAAGTTTAGCCTTTCTAACCCGTGTGATATTACATCCGAAAGGATAAAAGCTAATGAGAATATTAAACGGTCACAAGCTCGTAATGAATCCATATATGCCCTAAGACACAAAGCACTCATGAAGTATAATAATAATGACTTTGTTGCTATTCGCAATGTTGATGTTAGGCCTGGACATTGTAAGAAATTCGCACCTAAATACCGTGGGCCATACAAAATTAGTCGAGTACTTCCCAACGATCGCTACGAGGTAACCGATATAAAAGATTGTCAGCTCACACAACTGCCTTATAGAGAAATACTGGAAGCTGCAAGGTTAAAGCCGTGGATGCAAGTGTGTAATAAGACTGTAGGATTGTGCGTGTGATGAACGAGGCCGATCAAATGTCAGGTTGCCCGAATGTAAACATCTAGTCAATATCATGACGAACTAGTAGCTTTAGGTGTGAATTGTACATATATAATAATCGATAAGTGATGTGAACCGATAGACGGACACATAAATTTAAGATAGGATTTAAGAGAACGAGGGGACGGTCACTTTAGACCGGCTTTTGGTGAGAAGAACTAGTTTTTGGAGAGCAAAAAACTTAATAAAATAAAACGAAGAACATCCTAGTGGCTTCTAAAAAACTAAGAACGTAAGCTGTTTATAATTTATATATAAGTAAAGGAAAAATGTTAGAAATAAAAAGAAGTGTTAGTCCTACTGACAATATTTGCGAAGCTTGTTTGAATGGAAAACAAGCCAGATTACGATTTGAAAAATTTAAAAATAAAGAGCACATAAATTGACATCTTTTTGTTATTTATTCTGATGTCTGTGGTCCGATAACACCAACAACTATTGATGATAAAAATTACTATGTAATTTTTGTGGATCAATTTACCCATTATTGTGTCACTTACCTAATAAAACATAAGTCGGATGTGTATAACATCCAACAACTCCAGATGTGGCATAATAGAAAGCCGATTTTAAAATATTTAAAAATATTTGGTTAGACTGTGTTTGTACACAATAAAATAAGAAAACGTAAATTTGATGAAATATTGTTTAAAACCATATTTGTTGGGTAAGAACCAAATGGCTTTAAATTATGGGATACTGAAAAAGAGAAATTCATAATTGCCTGAGACGTTGTAGTAGATGCGACAAATATGGTTAACTTTAGAGTTGCTAAAAACAAAACCCTGAATGATAGTAAGGACGACAAAAATAATATCTCCCGAAAGAGAGTAAGGAAAGTAAACCCCTGAACGAAATGAATGAATGTGTTGAATATAATGTCCAGAATGAGAGTATGGAATGTTGTGAACAAGAGATCCTGAATGAGAGTAAGGATTCTAAAAATGAGAATTTCCAGAATGAGAGTACGGAATGTTATGAACAAGAGATCCTGAATGAAAGTAAGGATTCTGAAAATGAAAAAAGCCAGAATGAGAGTATGGAATGTTTTGAACAAGAAATCCTGAACGAAAGTAAGGATGGTGATAAAGATAGTTTCCTGAATGAGAGTAAGGGAGCTAAGCGACCTAAAAAAATGTCATCACATGAAATCGCTAAAGTAACTAATGAAGTAACTAGCAGAAGCGATAGATTAAAAAATAAACCAAGCATATCCTATAATGAAGATGAAATAAATTTAAATAATTTTATAATGAATGCTCACACTGTTTTTAATGAAGGCCCTTGTTCATTTGATGAGGTACAAAGTAGAGAAGATAGGGCTCTATGGGAAGAAGCTATTAAGGTCGATTCTGCTCATAAACTAAATAACACCTGGACTATTGTTAAAATGCCTAAAAATAAGAATATTGTAGATTGAAAGTGGGTATTTACTTTAAAGTATTCAGTTAGGTATTAGCCAGATTAGTTGCACGCGGGTTTACACAAAAATATCAAATAGATTACGATGAAACGTTCGCTCCGGTTGCTAGAATTTCCAGTTTCCGTTTTATTTTATCCATCGCAAACCATTATAATTTTAAAATACATCACATGGATGTTAAAACTGCTTTTCTTCATAGTACGTTGAAGGAGGAAATATACATGAAAGTTCCTCAAGGAATTGTTTGCAGTTTTGAAAATGTATGTAAATTAAACAAATCAATTTATGGGCTCAAACAAGCAGCTAGATGCTGGTTTGAAGTATTTGAGCATGCATTAAAGGAATGTAGACTTAAAAATTCATCTGTTGATCGTTGTATATAACTTTATCTTTTTTATTTTCAAAATATCTAAAATTTTTTTATTGCTTTATCTTAAGGAACAACTCCTTAAGAACATTTTCCCAAATTTTCATAGAGATTCAAGCAGTAGAAAAAAAGGTACAGCGCTCCTAACCGCGCGCCTCGTTGCGGCCCGACTTTGAAACTTGCAACTTTAAACGCGAATATCTCGAAATGGTGCTTCTTGAAAAATGACTTCGCGGTGATATGGATACATCAAATTTTTTTTTTAAATGTTCGTAATGAAATTTTTCTGTGCTTGAACGATTGACTTTTCACGCACAAACTTTTTTTTCGCCGAAATGAATCTTTTAGAGAAATTTCTAGCGACCAAAAAGTTCATTTTGAGCATAAAACGTGACCTGTTCGACCTGGGAAAGTATCACCGCAAGGCTCTTCAAAAAAAAGGCCTCTAAGGGAAACAGCCACCCCTTAAAAACTATTTATTATTTTTCCACGAAATTTTGCACAAACATTGTTAATAAAGTGTACTATCAAAAAATTAAAACATTCGCGTAATGAAATAATTGCTACATACCTAAAAAAAATCCAAACTTTCCTCTTTTTCTTCGACAAAGAAGGTATATAACCCTTAAAGACAAAGGCGATATCAAGATACTTTATTGGAATGAAAATACAATAGAAGTGGGCCAAGATCAGATATCTTTAAGTCAGTCTGCTTACATAAAAAAAGTTTTAAGTAAGTTTAATGTGGAAGATTGCAAATCTGTACATACTCCACTTTCAAGTAAGCTAGATTATGAAATGTTAAATTTAGACGAAATTTATGATGCTCCTTGTCGAAATTTAATTGGTAGTTTAATGTATATAATGCTTTGTACACGACCGGATACAACTACTGCCATCAATATCCTAATTATATATATTATATTATAGCTAAGTTCAGAACCCGGGGGGGCAACGCCAACCGATAGTTCATCAAGACATGCTAAATACTAGAAAAGCAAAGGAGCTAAAATACCAGTAGTAGGAAAATACTAGAAATTCCGAATGCAGGAAAAGGGCGGAAAATGGAAAACGGTAACGGAGCGATCGTGGCGTCTCTCCTCTCGGGATCGCGGAACGGGTAAGACGTGTGATCTGGACACGGCCTAGCGAGGCTTCGAAAGTCACGTGTGCCCCTCGAACTTTTCCGCTGGTGGGGAATCGTATCACAGGCCAGCCTGGACGCCTGACGCGACCACTCCCCGCCTTCTGATTGCGCGTGCACTGACAACCGAAGGCGACCAAGTTTTATGCGGTAGTTACGCGGACGATTTCAAGACACACATTTATATCTAAACAAGTCAGCTGAGGTTAGTACGACCAGATTCTCATGTGCTCAAAACGGACCCGAAAGCGGACCCGAGTGAGGATAAATTGAATAAACGGAAAAGAATATATAATTGCACCTCTCGATCGTGTGTTTCCTTCTCGCACCAAGTCTAACCTAACCTTACTCCGTTCACATTGCTACTTCGGACCTGAATGTGGACCCTCTTCCCGTTCAGTCCGGTAGTTTCCTACCTCTGTAGTCTTGGGATCTGCGCGTGGACACCCTTTCCGCCTTATCCAGAATCCTAGTTTTTCTGCCTCTTCCGTAGTTTTGGGATTTGCGCGTGGACACCGTTCCCTTTGCGCGTGGACAACCTTTCCGCCTTATCCGCAATTCTAGCTCATTCGTCGTTCTGGGGCTCGAGCGCGGCCCCGCCCTCGTGCTACCTAACTCCCGGCTTGGCATCGCCCGAAGGTCCAGCCCGATGGATTTTTCGCCTCCGACGCGAAACACAACACTTATACCCACAAAGTACCCTCCCGGCTTGGCCTCGCCCGAAGGTCCATTTTTCGCCTCTGACACGAAGTACAAGACTCCGGCTAGCCCGTTAGGTCGTAGCCCTGGAATTGGACTCTGCATAACCAACGTCATCTGCCTTTTCCTCGACGTAAATAAGGACCTCCGGTTAAGACTCCCCTCAAAGCTACCCGTTCCCCTGTGGAGTGGAACCCTCTAGTTCGGTGTTTCGGTGATTTACAAATTTTCTTGTAAAGGACTCTTGGATCCGACTGAGATCTGAACCCCTGGCCGAGAAAGCATCCTTGCAATATGAAGCCCATTTTTAAAAAAATTTAAATTATGAAAATATATTTGTTGGTTATGTAGACTCAGATTGGGGTGGAAATCAGAATGACAGAAAGAGTACAACTGGTTTTCTTTTTAAAACTCTAATTTAATTTGTTGGAATACAAAGAGACAGAATTCAGTAGCAGCTTCATCCACAGAAGCAGAGTATATGGGCTTGTTTGAAGCTGTGAAGGAAGCATTATATCCTAAGTCCCTTTTGGAAAGCATTTATATTGAATTTGATGGTCCAATAAAAATATTCGAAGATAATCAGGATTGTATAAGCATAGCCAGTAATCCTTCTTGTCATATAGATATTAAGTATAATTTTTCCAGAGAACAAATAGAGAATAATGTTATTTCCATCGAGTATATTTCTACAGAAAATCAGCTGGCGGACTTTTTCACGAAACCATTACCTTCCGGAAGATTTATGGAATTAAGAAGAAAAATGGGACTACATAAAGGTGACTAAACTTAACCACAACAATGGAGAGACAATGAAAACTATTTTACAATTCTAATTTGTTTTATTTATAATTTTAATACTTTAAAAACTATATTTAACGTACCAAATGAATTGATAAGACTAAAGTCAAGTTTGAAGTTATGTAACTGAAGTTCCTTCTACATTTTTTTATTGATATTTGAAAATATTGTTAAGTACCTACATATATCTATATATAATGATCTGATTGGGTTTTATCTGGGTTTTCCCAATCCTCGCAGCAAATGCTGGGTCATATTGTAATACCTCCCCAGAATACAATTCAGCCATTTTTAATGAAAAACGAATATATTTTGAACGTATATTTTAAAATAATGTAATTTTTGAGGGGGCGTTTTGAACATAACAGTGTATACGCCATCCCTACTGTTATGTACATTACAAAAATCAACATTATAGAAATCCCTACTTTGAATATTCGGGCACACTTTCTGTTTATCCTTCTCTTTCTGATCCTCGTGTACAAGTGGCTGGTTGTGTGCAGAAAACAAGAAACATAAATTAATAATTAAAACAACGATCATAAAACATATCCATCTAATATTGGTGTTCTTATTTAAACTGATAAAGGAATGAACAGTTGAGCGGTATATTTCAACAGCTTCTAAGGTCCGGTGACGCTCTGTAAGGAATGCTTTCACCTCCTGTCACGTCGGAATCGCGGCCTTGTTCTGCAGAGACTGTTCCCACAAGGATAGCGTGAGCTTAGGGAGTTTGGAAGAGTCCATGTACACCAAGAGGCAATCGCAATTTTCGGTTTGAAATGCGTACATTTTTAATGCCGTGAGGTAACCCTGGATGGTGCTTTGAAGTTCACGGATAGCTGAACCAGATTCCTGATTAACGAACTGCATTTTAAAAAGTATTTTTAATTGGCCATTTACTAAGAATCGCTTGTATAAGTTTGTTAGTTAGGTAAGCCCAGGCTAAGCGAAAGCCATCGTTGGTTAGGGGGGAGCTCGAAACTATGTTGTGTGCATCGCCACTTGTTTTTGCATTCAGGTGAAACAATTTTTCGACCGGCGTCAGACTTGGATTATTTATATAAATGGCCGTAAACAGATCCCTAAAGGTTGACCAACGCATATAATCTCCGGTGAAAACCTCGGTATCGCACGGAACTACTTATGTGGTTCAAAATACCAAGTCTGTATTATTAATGTTATAGACCCCGATGGATTAATAGTATTATTTTGCCTTTACCTAAACTTCTGATTAAAGACAAAATACCAAAATATACAAAGGTTAATTTAGGTCTATGTTATTTTATGAAATCCAAAAAACACTTTTAAAATTGACGTACTTTAAAGTTAGATCAATGCAAAACATGTTAAACTTAAGGTAGCCCTTACCTGACTTTGTTTTCGTCATTGAATATCAGTTCTTATCACAAAACTGATAGGTTTCGGTGCGCCCAATTTAAATTGTCTGCTTCCCCTTCAATAGATCAAAACTAAACTTGATTTAATTTGTTTTATTTTCGCTGTTGGCGCGTGCCCCTGCCCCTATACCCTTTCTAAAGCGAAACATATCCGATTATAACATTTTTAATCCTTAAGTCAAAACACAACATTAATTGTTTAAAAATGTTAATATTAAAATGTTTTAAATATTTCACACATTTCTATAACCAAACTAAAAATGTACATTGTAAGAGTAATGTATAATACACAAACATAACATTATAAGTAAATTCTATTTACTTAATTTTACTGTGATCAAATAATACAATTTTCTTAAACAATATTTGTTTTTTTTCGAAATACAATAATGCTCATAAAATATTAGGGCATTTACATGTGGCTGCGCCACAAAACGTTTTTCGCTAAAATTTTGGTCGCTAACCTGCCGATGTTTGTCTCTGAGAGCGCAGAGTGCAGGCACATTATAAGACAAATAGAGAGGGAACATCCGAATTTTTGTCTCTCTTTGTTGTACGACCGTTTTCGTCGGCAGTCTTCTACACTGCGCCGACTTCTCTGGTTACGTCGCAGTGGAGACGGGAAGATGGGAACAGAGCGGTTTTTGCTATGGCAAATTCGCGTGGAAAAGGCGGAAATCTGATTTGGCCTTGGAGCAGGCACGGGGTCTGTTTGGATCCACCCGAAAATGGTTTCTGGACCGAGTAGGGAACAACCAATGCTCAGCCGGGTGCCGCTTAGGAGAATGGATGGAAGTACATTGGCCCTAACTAGAATATCTATCTGTGCGCTCTCGAAAAACATTGTATCCGCTAGTGGCAGTTCGGGAAGATCCTGCAGTGACTGTTGCGGAATCGGACAAGATGGGAGGTTTCCAGGTAACTGCGTTACATAGGCGGGCGTGTTTATCTGCAAGCTAGGCCTGTTCGGAGAACGGATGGTAAACTAACAGAGCTTTTTGGATTCAGCGGATACTATGTGGTTTCAGCCTGATACCTGGACTCGGATTACTTGGTGAGGCAACCTAATTAATTTGAACAGCATCTCAGAAATTAAAGTTGCCTCCGATCTTGTATCTATCAGGTCACGAGCTTCGAAATTCGACCCCAGGTGACAGATGTTAATTATGGCGGTGCCCAGCAAGACGGAAATATACCCCGTCGCCAAGTAGTTTGGACTGTGGAGTCCGTGGACCCGGTAGCGGTGGGAATGGGTGTATTTAGTCTTGATCTGGGTCTCGGAGAAGGATTTTGAGGCGTTGGGGAGGAGCTTTCTCTGTGTAGTAGGGTGTGATGGCGGCCGTGGCACGTAAAGCAACTATGAGTGATTTAGCAATCACGCAGCTGATACCCTCGTGCGAACCAGATCAGACACAACTGCTTTCTTTTTATATATGCCGACCGCTCGTCGACCGTCATCTGGAGAAATCGTGCATATGTGGATGGGTTTTCTTCTTACAATGGTCACATCCTTTGGGATTGGGTGCTTCCCTTGTCTCGTAAGAATTTATTCTTCCAGACACTGACCTGAAGGCGAATGCTTTCGGTTGAGACTGACTCGAACCTGACGGTCGTACGTCATCTATGGATAAGGATAGCGTGAGCTTTATAGCTGACCCAGATTCCTGATTAACGAACTGCATATTTAAAAGTATTTTTAATTGGCCATTTACTAACAATCGCTTGTATAAGTTTGTTAGTTAGGTAAGCCCAGGCTAAGCGAAAGCCATCGTTGGTTAGGGGGGAGCTCGAAACTATGTTGTGTGCATCGCCACTTGTTTTTGCATTCAGGTGAAACAATTTTTCGACCGGCGTCAGCCTTGGATTATTTATATAAATGGCCGTAAACAGATCCCTAAAGGTTGACCAACGCATATAATCTCCTGTGAAAACCTCGGTATCGCACGGAGGCAGCTTACATCCGGAGGAAATGTAAGTCTGGGTAGAAACTTGGGGAGCTTGGGGTATTCTTTAGAGCTATTTGGGAAGCTGTTAGCCTTTTTTCGGGGCGACAAGGACTTAGCGTTTAGTTCGGGTGCTGGAGGATCTGCGGATATGCCTGGGACTACTGCAGGTGGAATAGACAACTTTTTGTTATCACTTCCTTTTTTGACCTTTTTTGGGTCACAATATGCTCGCTTTTTTATGTTGAAAATAGGGATCATGGCCCAGTTCTGGAATGGTGGAACGAGGTGTCGGCAACAAAAAAATTCTTGGATTGGAACAAATAGAAGTTAGAGCACGGAACGTTCTGGTTACTTTTATTTAATTTTAATTCGGCTTAGGAACGGCGATAAAGGAGTTTGTATATAACCCGTGGAAAAAACTATGGTACTTATCTTTTTTGGTATATGTATATTGTAGTGTGGTACAATTGGGACTGAGTTTGGTATTTTTGAACGCTGGTATTATTTTTGCTTTAAAATACTTTGATGGTTCAAAAATACCAGGTCTGTACTATTAATGTAATAGACCCCGATGGATTAATAGTATTATTTGGCCTTTACTTAAGTTTCTGATTAAATAAGAAATACCAAAATATACCAAAATAAGGTTGGGTCTAGGTTATTTTGTGAAACCTAAAAAACATTTTAAAATTGACGTACTTTAAAGTTAGATCAATGCAAAACATGTTAAACTTAAGGTAGTCCTTACCTGACTTTGTTTTCGTCATTAAATATCAGTTCTTATCACAAAACTAATAGGTTTCGGTGCGCACAATTTAAATTGTCTGCTTCCCCTTCAATAACTCAAAACTAAACTTGATTTAATTTGTTTTATTTTCGCTGTTGGCGCGTGCCCCTGCCCCTGTACCCTTTCTAAAGCGAAACATATCCGACTACAAAATTTTTAGTCCTCAAGACAAAGCACAACATTAATTTTTTAAAAATGTTAATATTAAAATGTTTTAAATATTTAAATAAATATTAACGGACCACATTTCTATAAACAAACTAAAAATGTACAGTGTAAGAGTAACGTATAATACACAAACATAACATTATAAGTAAATTCAATTTACTTAATTTTACTGTGATCCAATAATTAAATTTTATAAAACAATATTTGTTTTTTTTCTAAATACAATAATACTCATAAAATATTAGGGAATTTACATGTGGCTGCGCCACAAAACGTTTTTCGCTAAAATTTTGGTCGCTAGCCAAACATAACGGAGAGACGCAAAAAAAAAATAATGGACCTGCCGAAGTTTGTCTCTGAAAGCAGAGTGCAGGCTTATTATAAGACAAAGAGAGAGAGGGAACCTCCGAATATATTTCTCTCTTTGTTGTACGACCGTTTTCGTCGGTAGTCTTCTACACTGCGCCGACTTCTCTGTTGACGTCGCAGTGGAGACTGGGAGATGGAAACAGAGCGGGAGAGAGGTGCACTAAGAGAGCGGTGTAATGAAATAGCGGTGCCGTGGTGCAGATTCGCTGGACAATGGGATTGAACATTCCGCCCCCTTGCAATCGCTAGCTTTTCAAAAAGGGACGGAGACCCGGCCAGTCGTCTACGCCTTAAGCTTGCGTACAGGCGCCGAAGAGGATCAACCCGAACACCGTCTTCTGGGCCACTGGCAGTACCTCGACGACCATGCCCGGCTGGATAACCTTAAGGTAGCCGTCCGCGCCGAGGATCAGGGAGATGGTTGCTGGCCGATGAAACCGCTCATCTGCGAGCGGTAGCTCCCGAAACTTTTTGACCATGCTCTCACTGAGCGCACGGAAATGAGAGCGGATCCGTCCGTTTGGCTTTATTTTGAGGACCACCTTCAACTTGATCGCCTCGTCGACCTTCGACCGAATTGTCGCCGTGCAGAAGCTCTCACCTTCCACGTTGGCTGTCGGCAAACGAAACGCGGAGGCCAAGGATGAATGATGAAGATGAAGCTTGTCGGGGTGCACGGGTCGATGAGTGCGGCGGTGAGGAAAGACTTCTCCCCGGTCTCGACGATCACCATGGCAGTTGGGAGGACGTTGAAGCTGTGGTGCTGAAGAAGTTCCGCGAGCGACGGAGCTGGTGTCGAGGATGCTGAGCGAAGTGAAGGCCAAGCGTTTGGCGAGTTGGCGGATCTTGGCGGCGCGAACGCTGCCTGTTGCTGTGAGCCT